GTTGACGGCAACAAGGATGACAATGCAACCATGGGAGTAGGGTAGCTTTATGATGAAGTCCAAGGATACTGAGGACCAAGGTCGAGATGGGGTAGGCAAAGGCTGAAGAAGGCTGGGTGGTTTGGCACATGGGCACTTACTCCAACAGCACAGATCTCCATAGTAGAAGGCTAAGTAGGTGTTGCCGTTCTAAGAGGGTGGGTGAGAAATATTAAAGACCAAATTCTCTTCTCAGTAGCACCTGTGTATTTCTGGAGTAATTCTATTGAAATCTATGAAAGTACTTTGGATTTATACCTGTGTAAATGAGAGCAGAGCTGGTCCCTGAAGAGAGATTGAAAGACTGCCCCCCACCCAAACTGGCACATCTGATCTAGCTCCAGAGTTGAGGGAGTAATGCTTCATAAAGGTGTGAAGTGAACTGCATATCGCAGCTTTACAAATTTTAATACAAACAAGGAGATGAAATAACTATCACAAAACAGAATGGGCTTTCAATTCTTCTGGATAGTTGGAGTACTATTGGAGGCTTTAAAGTCCATTCACACTGATCCTGGCCCGTCTAAGACCTCGTCTATATTAAATTTACACCACTAAAATTGCCCGCCATTGCTACCACTGGTTCTACTGGTGGTACCAAAAGTGAGAATGCTAGTGTAGACAAGGTACCATCAGCTACCAGTGTTTTAAGCACTATGTGTGTAGCCTGCTCTAAGCAGCATTACACAATACAGTGTTTAAAACGGACATGCCCACCTGTAGTCAATTGCCCCTAAAACCAAAACTTCTCCTTTACTTAAGGAGTTAATACTATTTAAAATATTATTTATCAAGGCTGGGATTTTTCTAAAGAGCCTAAAAGAGTTAATCAATAAGAGTGCCTATCACTAAATCTCCTTTGAAAATCTCAATCTAATATTTTTCTAAAAGACATTGGAGATACCTGCTTCATGTATAGAATTAAACGGCCAGACTCACTGGTATGCTCTAGCTGCTTCACGTTACCTTGATGACCCAAAACAGCCATAAACCTATCTTAATTGCCAGTTTAAATGGATTTAGTACTACCTTGTGTGGCTAAAACAACCCAAAAATTTTTGGTGGCCTGGGCTAAAAGGGAAGGATCACTTTTGAGGGCAAAGGAAAATGTCCATGATCTTAAACCACTTAATTTCAAATATTAATGTGTATTTGTACTGTCTTTTGAAGGATGATTATGAAAATAATGGATCATTCAGAAATACATTTAACAGTTTCCTTCTCCTTAGGGTTACAGGGTCTCCTATTTTTCTCCACAGTTACCTTGGAGCAGGCCTCTTGGCCTGGATGTTTCCCTTAGAAGAAAATTTCTGACTTCTCTTGTGGGAGACATGAGAAATCTGTGCAAAACTCCTACTTGTCCTGCCCCAAGGGTAGAAGAGGATGCCAGAAAAATGGTAAGTAAGTCCCCACATCCTTGTTAACTCCAGCATTCTACTGAGGTATTATTACCTCACCACTCAGAAGGCACTGCTGGAGTGGAGTTGAAATCTTTGCCACACTGGCAGCTACTTACTGCTGACCCAGACTATAACCACCCTGAAGGAACACAGGAATGTCATTTGCTGAAGTGGAGATTGAAATCATGGTAGACTATCAAAGCTTGGCAAGACCCCTAGTATTTGGGAACCTTCTCTTACTCTGAAATGCATTATGCCAAATTTTCAGTCAGTGGAACAACACTGATTTACATCAGCTGAGGATCTGTCCTGCTCTGTGCAGAAAGGCCCTATTTACAGCTATGCTACATTGGTATCATTGATATTCTCTTAATACTGACTTTTTATTGCAGGGTTACAGCCATTTGGATTGTCCACTGACAGCCTAGTGATATGAGCTGCTGTTGCATTACTCTGAACTGCCAGCAGTCCAGTAAGGTGGTAGCCTAGGTAAAATGCGCACATGAACAAACATGGAAGAAAAAATTCAGGCTTATCTTTTTCTGTACATTCCATGTTTGTGGATGAGCTCCTGACTCAGGCAGTTTAATGGTAAGGGCTGGTGGGAGCCCCCTGGAAATATAGCATTTAATAGCCATCTGGTAGGTGAAAAATTGGTGCATTCCAGGGGTTAAGCACAGTGGTACTCAGTTATAGTAGAGCAAATTGAAGCTGGTGCAGAATTTGGCAGCTTGTTTGTTACAGGGTGCATTTCTGGTGCACGTGATACCAGTTCTTTTGGGTCTCCACTGGCTAGCTGTTAGCTACTGGTAAAATTTAAGGTGTTGGTTCTGACCTACTTATTGGACAGACCCTCTAGGGTCTGTGTGTGTGCAGTGGCACCTGAGGTCACATAAGAGAAAGTGGGGAGCTGGCAGAGTGTTTTCCATAATGGCCCCTTTGAAACTTGTGCCTCACTGGCCAAGTTCAATTGATTTGACTCAATATTTTATAGGGAGCCAGAGTAGAGAGCAAAGGACTGGCTTGATGTGCTCATGGCAGCCTGTGTTGCTGAGGAAATGCACTGCTGTGTTCATACTAATTAGAGTTTCCTAAGGGCTGATGACTAGGGCAGGCTAGAAAACAACAATTCTGATTTGCAAAAAATTTAGAGGTTTCAAAATGTGGTTTTGGTTTGGGTGTCCGTTCCCCCCCCAACCCCGCAATTAAACAAAAATTAGACCTTTTAAAATTGTTTGTGAAAAAAATAGACAGAGAGAAAGAGAGCGAGACCCCAGAATAGCAATTAACATGAGGGTTAGGGCACTCACCGGGGCCGACCATGGCCCAGGTGGGTGCCCTTGCCACTGTGTCTCCTATTGAAACTATTCCACTTTGTATAAATAATGAAATATTAATTGGGCGACAGTGAGAGGTTTTGATTTTGACAAAACAACATTTTTTGACAGACAAGTTTTGTCAAAAAATTTTCAACCGGTTCTATCGATGGCTTCATACCCAGGGGTGTTGCATCAGTGTAGTTCCCCCAGTGCAAATGCAGTTTACCAGTGTAGTATGGAGTTTGCACTCAGTGTGACTTACCTCAGTCTCACCAGTGCAAGCCCCATTTTACTTTGGTGCAGCTCATCACTATGGGTTTGCACTGGGGGAGCTATGCTTCTGCAAAAATCCCTAATATAGAGTAGCCTGTATACATGCAACATGTCTGGTTCATATCACCCACACTCTTCCCGGATTTAGTCAAGCAATTTAATTGGTCTCAGTGTCCTCTGAGAGCACACAGGTCATACCAGTGGATTATGATGCCAGCAGCCCCTGCCCGACTCTGCCTTCCTATTATGACATGATTTGCTGCCTCACCTGTAGGCATTGACTGTTTAAGGAAATTCAAGAGGGGTAACTTGCTATTCAAAAATCTACTTGAATTTGCCAGTCCTGGGTTCCTAGTGCAGCAGACTTCTAGAGAGCTCTTCAGAACAAGCTAGAGCATTTGTATCTTGTTCTTTCTTTGGTAGACTCCTCCATGTAAGAAATGGGCTCGTTTCAGTAAAACGAGGCATGAATTCCTAGAAGTAGAAGTCTAAACGGGGGAGGGATAGCTCAGTGGTTTGAGCATTGGCCTGCTAAACCCAGGGTTGTGAGTTCAATCCTTGAGGGGGACACTTAGGGATCTGGGGCAAAATCTGTACTTGGTCCTGCTAGTGAAGGCAGGGGGCTGGACTCGATGATCTTTCAAGGTCCCTTCCAGTTCTAGGAGATGGGATATCTCCATTAATTATTATTACTTAGGGAATGTACACAGTATTTAAAAAAGGAGAGACAAGACATCTTGATTCTCTTCATGGCCTTGCCACTGACTTATGTGGCCTTGGAAAAGTCATTTAACTTACTCCCTATTTAACTTCTGTATTCGCAAGCATAAATGGGAATAATGATGTTTACCTACCTAACATGGGGGGGGCGCTGTGTTTATGAAGTTCAATTAATTATTAGCCTCTCCTGAAGCGTGACCACTTTATGTTGCTCTATCTTCTGTTTGTGCCTTAAAGTCAGTTTAGCCAGCTGGTAGAGGACATCCTCTTCCCACTCCAAGCAAAGGAGGCATGTCCACAGGTTACTAGACATGGTTGGGGTGTTCCTTTGCCCCAAGGATTCCTGACTGCTGGAATATCCCTTTTGAGTTTTAGACAACTGACTCAATTTAGAGCAGTACTAAGGCTGCTCTAAATTGTATTTCAAGACCAGACCAGCACCTGGGAGCAACATGAACAAGGGGCACTAAGATTGTGCAAGTCATCTTTCCCACATCCCTCTTGAACTGTGCTGAGCAGACCCAATGATCTAACCCATTATTTGCAAGATACATTGGTATGCTCACATGAAAGGGTAAAATGTTGTTGTTATCTTCATCACCCTAACAATGGCAAAAAAGTATTTTGATCAATCCTACCGTTATATTAAGATTCTTCACTTAATTATAAGCAAGGGGAACAATCTGAAATACAGCATAGCACATGTGATCTAGCTTGTGTTTCAACTGTATTTGTGCAAGTTTCATATGTGAACTATCTATATTTATTCGTAGAATTATGCTATGTGAGATTTGATGATGAAGAGGAGGAAAGCATGAAGACAACAGAATAAGTCGTGTAAGAGAAACAGAACAACAAAGGCACTGAAGGTGGATTTTGGCAAGATGTTACTTGGTAAAAATAGTTCCTTTTTTCTTGTCTATATGCCCGCCCCTATGTCTGATCAGCTCCCCAAGCTGATCCCCTCTCCATCGCCAAATCCTGTCCAGCTTCTGGAGTGCCTTTGGAAGGTCATACCTTGAAAGCATGTGCATGTTTGTGTGGGTTTTTGCTCTCGAATAACCTGATGCAGCCTGTGATAGGAAATGGAACAGACTTTTCTATCTTCTGCTATTTCCCCATCAGTTGATTATTTGTGTTTTTCTGGAACAGCCCCTCTTAACTTACTAATTTTTTCCTGTTTTGTGTGTAGACAACATTAGAAGCTACTTCTCTTTTAGGAGCTTCAGTGTGCGTGGAGCCTCCAGAAGCCAGATCTCCATTATGGGAGATCTTCAGAGAGTTCTTAGCAAAGGAGAATATGCCCCCTTCACATCCGCTCCCATGTTTGAGAGCAACTTTGTCCAGGTAAACATCATTTAAATGAAATTGTTTGGCACTGATGGTTTGACATACCTTACATAGAGAATTTCCATTTTTATCCCCCAGTGTGGTTGCTGCCCACTCCTTTGTTCATTTCCACTATTCTCATTCTCGTCTCACTCCAACACGTGTATATTCCCCTTCTCATACACACTTATCCTACTCTCCCCTCACATACACTGGGCTAGATACCCAGCTATGCTAGTGCTGCACGCAGCTAATCTGGAGGGGAGAACAAAGGCGGCTTTGTGAGCCCTTTTCTCTCTTCCACACCTTTATCCTGGGAATAACTGGGTGCTGATTCAACCCCTTGTGCAACTTAGAGCAGCCTTAAGGTTGCACCCAATTGCAACACCTCCTAAGTGGTCATTCTAGCAAATCTTGGCCTGTGTCTCCGATATCGCCTCATAAATATCCAACTGTCAGCTCAAGATCAACATGGCAAAAACAGACCTCCTAATCTCCCCCACCCAAAACCTTCCCCACTCCCTCCTTTCTCAATCACTGTGGCAAACACCACCATCCTACCTGTCACTCAGATCCATAACCTGAGTGTCATCTTCGACTCTGCCCTCTTTCTCTAGGTCCTCGCATCCAGGCTGTCTAAATCTTGCCAATTCTTTCTCCATAAGACCTCTAAGATGCAGCCTTTCCTATCCATCAGCACTGCTGAAACTCCTACCCAGGCTCTCATTATCTCGCATCTCAGTAACTGCAACAACCTTTTCTTTGGCCTCGACAAATGCAATCGTGTTCTGCTCATATTCATTCAGAATGCTGTTGCAAAGACTATTTTCCTAGCCCATCATTTTAACCAAGTCACCCATCTCTTTGCATCCCTCCACTTCCTTCCCTTTCCCACATCAAACATAAGCTCTTGTCTTCACAATCTATCCCCACCCTATCTTATTTGCTATCAAGATGTTGACTTCTGCCCCCAATCAGCCCATGATACCAGCCTCTATCACCCTCTGGTTACATTTTCAAACAAACATCTTAGTGTTTTCTCCCATGCTGCCCACGCTCCCCATAAACATCGAAAAAGCTACCTCATTATCCTCCATCAAAACTCTCCTTCAAACTCCCCTTTGTTTTAATGCCTACAAAAAAATTGACAACCGTGAGGCTGTTGGCATGCTGAAACCATTGCCTATCATGCTGACCAATAGTGTGTCGTATATTCCTTGTACTACCCTGCCAGTCCATCTGTCTCTATTTGTTGTCTCTTGTCTTTATACTTAGATTGTAATTCATTGGGGCAGGGACCGTCTTTTTGTTTTGTTTGTACAGCACCTAGAACATTGATGTCTTGGTGCATCACTGGAGCGCTTAGGTACTACAGTAATACAAATCAACAAATAAATAATACACCTCTACCTTGATATAACGCTGTCTTCGGGAGCCAAAAAATCTTATTGCGTTATAGGTGAAACCACGTTATATCGAACTTGCTTTGATCCACGGAGTGTGCAGCCCCACCCCCCTGGAGCACTGCTTTACCACGTTATATCCGAATTCGTGTTATATCGGGTCACGTTATATCGGGGTAGAGGTGTAATTATTAATAATAATAATGGATCACCAGAGCATTGCAGCACCCTTGCCATGCCCCCTTCACCACGGGCCATGAGAAGTGGTAATGCAGAGAAGGCTAATAGCTGAATATATGTCCAGTTAGCTGATTATGCCACCTTTCCAACCCCTTCATTCTGACTCACTTCCTTCTCCTCCCTTTCCCTTTCTTCATACACACGCCCCTCTCATTCTTTTACGTTCCCTTATCTTCTCACCACCTGAGTTGTGAGAGTCCCAGGCAAGTGGTACCACAATAGGTCTGTGTAATGTATTATCAATGTAATGGCTCCATGACATACTGTAATGACTTTGTTTTTGTATGCAGGTTAATAGGAGAGGTGAACCAATTTATGTTCATAACCGCCCCAACTGTGTGACTGTAGGCATCTGTGCATCCAGCCCCAGTCTATCACTGCCCAATGTGATGCTGCTAGCACACAGAGTGCCTACATCTTCCCAGGAAGCTGTGTCAAAGCCCTGGAAGGCCTCAAAGCAGCCATCCTCCATGGAGCAGCTAGTACTCAGCAGGTAAGTTAGCACTAAGAAGGAGTGAAGGTCAGTTCACAGAGCACGCTTTCCACAAAGGCTTTTTGTAAGTCTTGGTCATATTTTGGACAAAGGTTTGTAACCAGGTGTCTCTCCACTAGTGTCCATTTAGTAATGCTGTCCTTTGGATGAAACATTAGCTAAAACATGCATCCTTTGGGCAATCTCCAGTGGCCATTCCAAGCCAAAGGCATTAAAAACACTTACGTAAATCTGTAAATTCATCAAAGAAATTGTCTCTCGTCTTATATGTAGATTGCTCTGTGGTTGTACAGTGCCTAACACAATGGCCTCCTGGTCCATGTCTAGGCTCCTAGGTGCTGCCAGAATACAAATAATAATTAATAATATTAAAAGCAGGACAGCCTGTAAGAAAATTGGTGGACTTGCTGGGTTACCAGGGAGCAATCAAGGGGAACGGGGCATATCAGAGAAGCTAATGTTGTTTGCATGAGTTTTTACAGTAAAGGATGCTGGGGAGACACCCACTCAAAATATACTTTTTTCAGGTAATAAAAATGAAGTGTCAATAGAGGAGGTGTTGGGACAAAATGATAAAGAGCAAGAGGTCACCAGGAATGGATGGAATACATCCAAGAGTTCTGGTAAATTGGAAAGGGTTCAGAGAAGAGCCACAAGAATGATTAAAGGATTAGAAAACATGCCGTATAGTGAAAGACTCTCAGAGCTCAATCTATTTATCTTAACAAACAGAAGATTAAGGGGTGATTTGATTGCTATCTATAAGTATCTACATGGGGAACAAATATTTAATAATGGGTTCTTCAATCAAGCAGAGACAGGTATAACACAATCCAAGGATTGGAAGTTGAACCTAGACAAATTGATACTGGAAATAAGGCATAAATTTTTATCAGTGGTAGTATTTAACCATTGGAACAATTTACCAAGGGTCATGTGGATTCTCCATCACTGGCAATTTTTAAATCAAGACTGGATGTTTTTCTAAAATAAATGCTCTAGGAATTATTTTTGGAGAAGTTCTATGGCCTGTGTTATATAGGAGGTAAGACTAGATGATCACAATGGTAGTTTCTGGCTGTGGACTCTATAAGAATTAAGTGGTTGAGCTGATAAAATATACAATCTCTCATTAAAATCAGTAACCATACCAAAAGACCAGAGGGTAACAAATGTTGTTGCTATTTGTTCAATAAAGGCCCTCTGGCTGGTAATTAAGAGATGCTGTAACTTTAGTACTAGGAAAACTGGTTGAAACAATAATGAAAAATAGAATTATTAAACACATGATCATGCTTCTCTAAACTGTTCAAATTTTTTGAGCATGTCAGCAAAATAGTGAATAAAGGAAAACTGGTTGATAGAATTTATTTGGACTTCAAAAAGCCTCTACCAAATTTTCTCATGAGAAGCTAAATAGTTATGGAGTAGAGGGTGAACTATTATCTTGCTTTTGAAACAGGCTGAAATGCAAAAAACAAAGTAGGAATAAATTAGTCAATTTTCAACACGGCCAAAGGCTAACATTGGGGTGCTCTAAGTTTTCATACTCGGACTAGTGTTGTTTAATATATTTATTGATTATCTGTAAAAGAGTGAACAGTAAAGTGGCAAAATTTGCAGATGACACAAAATAATTTGGGTTAGTTAAAACCAGAGAAGACTGTGAGAAACTCCAGAGGAACCTAATGAAAGGAGCTAAATGGGCAATCTGAAGACAGATTAAATTCATTGTTGGAAGGAATAATTTGAACTACTCTCACAAATTGCTAGATTATATATTAATTGTAACCACTTAGAAAAATGATCTGGACATCATTGTGAGCAGCGCAATAAAACCTCTGTTCAATGTGAAGTAGCAATCAAGAAGTCAAACAAAATGTTAGGACATATAAAGGATGGGATAGGATATAATAGCGAATACACAGACTACTGATTGATCATAGGAACATAGGAATTGTCATATCTGGAAATTAAAGGTTTAAGGGCACTTTTCAGAAAGAATAGGGGTTAATTGTAGTGTCCTAGTCAATATACTGTGCCCTTTCTAAAAAATCAGGCTTTAATGTCACAGATGCTGTGAGCTATTGCAGAGCACCTCTCCCACAAAGGGCATAGTGGCATCTGAAAAGAGTGTCTCAGGGTACACTCACCATGCTTTTCCCAACAGACTTCTCCCCTGCAGTCGGGATGTGCCCCCAGAGAAGACAGATACAATGTCTTCTTTGAGAAGAGTCTGCATGCATTTCCCTTCAGACTACTCCCCCTGCAGCCCATTTCCTGAATCACGCAATGGATATAGTGCCTCCTGTAAGCAGAGACTCTAGCTGGTCTCACACCTGAGTTTTCTTGTAGGTTCTTCCCCTTGAAGTTTGTGGAGATCACCGTTCACAATGCTGAGAAGCGTCGCCTCAAGCTGAAGCTGGCAAGTGGCCGCTCCTTCTACCTGGAGCTCTGTGCCCCACCAGACAAGCAGTGCCTCCTCTTCCGTCAGTGGCTGCAGCTCATTTCTCTCTTGAAACGTCCCCAAGACCACTACAACAATACTCAAGTCAATGTAGTGTATGAGAATTTTAATGGGCAGCAAGTTGAGAGAATGCAAGGCACAAGGAACCAGTCAGACGTGAGTCTTTGGCAGTGGTTCGTAAAAAACTTCACATGCTTGTTCCACCATTCCTTATTATTGCACAAGCTTTGACTTGTGCAATAGACAAGAATTCAAAGGAGTTACAATTCTGTTTATAAGGAGTTTATATAAAAATAACTGGCCTGTCATAAGCTCCCTACAGAATCTGAGGGTGGTGGCAGCCAGATGGCAGCCAGTAGTGCAGCCAGGCTTGGTTATTTGGATGTCAAGAAGTGGGGTACCTGACACCATTGTCCTGGCTTTCATTTTTCTGATATTTTGGTGAATGGGTTGCTGTGGCCTTTAGTGGCGCTTCCCTTCTGAATTTCTCCTCTGATGTGGGGGCAAAGGGCAGAGCAGAAGAGGCATAACATAGCTGAGTTCTTCACATGGCCTGTGGTAGCTGATGGGTGAGGTGCATTAGACAGTTGGCATGTTGGGAGGGGGCTGGGTGTTCCAGCTCTTGGTTGAAGTATTAGTGGAGAGCTAGAAAGGTCAGAGGTATCCACTTGCTACAACTGAGAGACAGAGAGGGAGCAGGAGTGGGGAAGGACGGAGGGCTAAAGACAATATATTCATACTCTGGGCTTTCATCAGCAAAATTGGTGGAAACACTGCCCTTGGTCCACACTTAGCAAGGAGACCAGGATAGCTGCTGATCCTGAACATACTTCTTAAAGGTGTTACCCAAAGCTCCATGCAAGTAACAGAGACTTTCGGCATAGGCACCTCCACATCTCTCTTTTTTGCCCCACCCATGCAAGCCCCTGCTTCAGCCTGGCAGATGGAGGGCCATGAGAAGATGAGAGACACATGCACACAAGTGACTGGCTTTTGTCCAGCCTGTTCTTAAAAACCTCCCTTGGAAGCCTATGCCAAAGTTTAACTACAATTAGAAAGTTTTCCTAATATCTACCTAAATCTCCCTTGCTACAGATTAAGCCCATTACTTCTTGTCCTACCTTCAGAGGATATGGAGAAAAAGTTATCACAATCCTCTTTATAATAGCCTTGAACATATTTGAAGACTGTTATCAGGTCTCCCCTCTTAGTCTCCTTTTCTCAGGACTAAACATGCCCAGTTTGTTTAATCTTTCCTCAGAGGTCAGGGTTTTCTCCTTTCACTCAGTCTAGTATCCTTAAGGAAATGCAGTAAGGCTTTTTTTTTTGCACTAATCTATTTCCCTGACATTCTCACGAGTCCCTTTAGGATAAAATCTTTAATTCCAAGCCAACTCGATTTTTCATAAAGAAACTTTCTTTCCATAGACTATTGCCCGCAATGACACAGAACATGATCAACAGTTTCTTTAGTTTTGCACACATTACACAGCCCATCTTTATGTCTTTTTAATAAGTTTAACTTTTCATTTAAGGCATAATGACCTGTTAACACTCTAAAAATGGCTACTTCACTTTTTCTGTCATGTCAATGGAATGTAGTATTATCTTTGATTTTTGATCATACACCATAGAACTTCATCCTTTTGTTTCCTTGGGCTATAGTTCTTGCCCTTCCTTTGCAGGCTCCTTCGTGACCACACTTCTAAACTCTTGTGTACTTAAGGGTATCTTACTATCCACCTCCTAATTTTTTAGAGTATGTTTTAATGCTTTGTCAGCCAACTCATTTCCAGGTATTCTGATATGCACTGGAATCCATGCTACTGTTACACAGATATCTATTTGAGTTATTTTTAGAGATAGGAATGTTATTTCACTTCTTATGTCATTTCTGCTTTCCAAAGTCCCTGTTCTGATTGTCATTATGTCTGACAAGGAATCATATAAAATTACAGCTTCAGCTGGTCAGAAATCTCTTATCCAGGTTAGTGCCAACATTATCCCCACTAGTTCAGCCATCAGAAATTACAGAACCTTTTTGGTTTCTGGATTCTAATACTAGGAGCACAAAAGGCTGTTCCTTCTCTACCTGTGCTGTCATCTTTAGATCTATCTCTATAGACTTTGCAAAGCTGGCCCCATTTTTCATTCATTCATTCATAAATGTCATTGGTCATAATGTGTGTTTTTTGTCCTTCATTTGTTGTTTTCATACAATTCCAAATCCACATATGGAGGAGTAAGTGATCAGCTATAAGCTGATTTTCCCGGAGTAAAAATGTTTCGTTCTCTCAATTTCTCTTTTTTACATATCTCCTTTACCCATTTTTGACCCCAATACTATGAGGAAGTCTGTGGCAATCCATATCATTTTGTCTACTAAACTCTCAGCAATCCCCATAAATCTGTTGTGTACTACCATTTTCATGATTCCCTCTTATCTTTGCCCAAAAAGTTAGCTCTAATAGTTTTATCTCTACTTTTATAAGTGCTTCTCCAGTCAGACCCCTTTTGCTACAAACTTCCTCTCCTTATGCTAACCAGCCTGCTCCTGCTGCCCATCTGGGCTTCATGATCCATTAAGCTTGGCTCTCCCTCCAGGTGCAGCCAGATAACTTAACTGGCCTCTCAGACCCACATTAACCCATTTGGGACCTATGTGGGGTACACACATTATCAGTGTCTTACCCTTTTTGATTTTATCTACACATGCCTGTGCTATTCTTTTGTACTCCTTAGCAATTTGTCCATGTTCCCTCTTTTTATAGAAATCCTTTTGGATTTCTAGGTCATTAAAGAGCTCCTGGTGGAGCCATATTGGCCTCTTACTATTCTTCCTATACTTTCTTTGCATTGGGATAGTTTGCAATTGCAGTTGTGACTTTTATACCATCTCCTTGAGAAGTAACCAGACACCTTAAACCTTAGCCATCAGACAAATACCTGGTATCTGCTCCCAGATCAGAGCAAAGACAGAGGAAAACCCAGGGTAATGATTGTTGGATATAGATGGGATGAAGAAAGGAAAAAGAAAACTTGCAATGTAGGTCATTAAACAATGCTCAAAGGTTAATTTTGGTCAGTATTGGCTTCCATGATCCCATGGAGAATGAACTCCTCACTCATGCCCAGAAGAGGTTTCAGGGGTGTCGAATGTACGACCCATAGGCCGGATCTGGTCTGTGGATTTCCCATGAATCTTCAGGCTTGTCTTCATGACCCCAAAATCAGTCCACACTTTGGGGGTGTGATTTATACAGTGTTCCAGGGTGCTGCGCTCTAATTCACCATGTAAACTCTGCTAGTGTGCATTAATGCAGTCCTCTTTCAAACAGGACTACATTAATGTGCATAAGGAACATTTAGGGCACACCAGTAGGGTCACACAGGGGAGTTAGAGCAACTGGTGCTTTCTACAAATCACATCCCCATAGTCCAGACTCTGGCGCAGCAATCCAGCAAAACCTCGTGCACAAGTGTAGAACCACTTGGTTGCATTTAAGAGGGGCTGGAGAGGTATGAGTCTGATGGTTGCCGGTACTTGCCCGGGGGAGGGAAAATGGCACTCAGGAGCACTTACTCACCAGCTGGAGAGTAGATATGCCAATCTGACAAGTCAAAGAAAAGGAAACTTCCAGGTGAAGCTAAAAGCAATTATCAACATGAGTTATCTTTATCTATTTCTATTTTAATAACTTTTTCAGAGTGTGACCCTACCAAGTGGCAAGGTATTGGACCAGGCCTGCCATATTGGTCAATAGTCAGTGGCAAAGGGACAGGGTGGGGAAGTATCAGAGGGGTAGCCTCGTTAGTCTGTATCCACAAAAACAATGAGGAGTCCGGTGGCACCTTAAAGACTAACAGATTTATTTGGGTATAAGCTTTCGTGGGTAAAAAACCCACTTCTTCAGATGCATGGAGTGAAAATTACAGATGCAGGCGTAAATATACTGACACATGAAGAGAAGGGAGTTACCTTACAAGTGGAGAACCAGTGTTGACAGGGCCAATTCAATCAGGGTGGATGTGGTCCACTCCCAATAATTGATGAGGAAGTGTCAATACCAAGAGAGGGAAAATTGTTTTTGTAGTTAGTGAGCCAGCCACTCCCAGTCCCTATTCAAGCCCAAATTAATGCTGTTAAATTTGCAAACGAATTGTAGCTCTGCAGTTTCTCTTTGAAGTCTGTTTTTGAAGTTTTTGTTGTTGAAGTACGGCTACTTTTAAATCTGTTATAGAATATCCAGAGAGGTTGAAGTGTTCTCCTACTGGCTTTTGTATGTTACCGTTCCTGATGTCTGATTTATGTCCATTTATTCTTTTACATAGAAACTGTTCAGTTTGGCCAATGTACATGGCAGAGGGGCATTGCTAGCACATGATGGCATATATCACATTAGTAGATGTGCAGGTGAATGAGCCCCTGATGGTGTGGCTGATGTGGTTGTGTCCTCTGATGGTGTCGCTAGAGTAGATATGGGGACAGAGTAGGCAACAGGGATTGGTTCCTGGGTTAGTGTTTCTGTGGTGTGGTGTGTAGTTGCTGGTGAGTATTTGCTTCAGGTTGGGGGGCTATCTGTAAACAAGGACTGGCCTGCCTCCCACGGTCTGTGAGAGTAAGGGATCATTTTCCAGGATAGGTTGTAGATGGTTGATGATGTGCTGGAGAGGTTTTAGCTGGGGGCTAAATGATGTACCTGATGGCCGGGGGGGGGAAGCTTTCACTGCCATGGTCCCTGCTGTATTGGTCCCATGGGTAAGTATTCCCATTTCTCAGGACTGGCAGTCTGACACTCCTAACCAACACAAAATTCAATATAAATAAAGAATTGATAAATATGATATTATTTTCTGATCTCCCCTCAAAGCCCCAGTGGTGCTGATCAGCTCCACCCTGAGCCTTTACTTTGTGCCCATTCCTATTGTCTTATTTGTTGGGTGTCTTCCTTATTCCCTACAGAGAGACACCCAGCTAGAGACTCTGAATTCTATTGATATCCCAGAATCAGAGAAGGAGGAAGTTGCTAAGCGAGCATCCTCCAAGCGAGTCACCATCTCTGGCATAGTGGGTCCTATTGAAGAGTGTGGCAGCAGCAAGAGAGGGCTGGCAGTTGCCTCACGCAGCTCCATAATAAAAGAGACCAAAAGAGATCCCAGCATGCAGTCAGAGAAACAACAAAGAAAAGATCACCTGAAGGTAAAGAAGAGCAAGAGCACAGAGAGGAAGAAATCCAGGTATGTGTGGTTGGGGATATATTGATGCTAAGACAGAGGGTGTCCACAGCTGAACTTTAGAGAATGAGAAGTGGCATGTTCCTGTCATTAGGGAGGTTATTCTTTCAGCAACACTTTAGAATTACTGTGATATTTCTGCTGCTGTATTAGGTTGAGCTGCTTAGGAACATAGAGAGGGATTTTCAAAAGCACCTAGGCTTGGGCTCCTCAGTCATGCAGGCATTTTTGGAAATCCCATCCATAAATCCATAATTAGGACCTAAATGAAACTGACCTGATTGTCCAAGATGTTGAGCACCCACTGCTTACCCTGACTGCAGAAAAAGCTGCAAATGCTCAGCATATCAGAAAACCAGGCCACTTCGATTTAGGTGCTTAACTTTAGAGACCCATGTTTGAAATTTTTGACCATACTATTTGCCATACTAGATCAAGCCAGGGGTCCAGTTGGTCCAGTATCTTGTGTCCTGAACTCCATACTGGCCTATGGAGTTCAGTATCCTGCCTCCTTCTGTGCTGGAGCAGACTACTGGTCTAACTAATTTCCTGCCTCTAGCAGTGCGCACTGGCTTATGGTTCAGAGCAAGACAAAACCCCACGCACCCATACTGCACCTAATTGTGGCATATTGCAAGAAGACATTGGAGAAATTCCATCCTCTTCCCATCCCCTGCCTTTACCCTGCAGGTGGCTTTACATCCAGAAGTGTGAAATCTGATTACCTTTATCTTTACCTAAGTGTTGACAGCAGTAGTGTAGCTAGGGGGGTGCAGGGGAAGCAGCCGCTTCCCCTCAGCACATTTTCCAAAAGCGGCGCCTTAGTTAGGGATTACCATGGCGCCAGCGGGCGGGGCCCATACTCCGCTCTGAAGCTTGGCCTGCCGGGCTGGCGCTGGGCTCCTGCAGGCAAGGGGGGGCGGCACGGCCGGAGGAGCCATGGGGGGGGGGC